ATTTATATCTAAATCCACAAGTCTAAATTAATTAAAATTATTATTATATATTTTAATCTTCTTTCTTTCAAAGAAATAAAATCAATTTAATATTATTCTTATTAGAAACTTTAATAGAAAAAGTTCAATTCAAAGTTCAGACAGAATAAAAAAATCCCTTGTTCGATGATAAAAGACGCAAGAAAAATGAACATATCTCAACTCTGTAGTGCTAATGCAAATATGTGGTTTACATAAAATGTACTAGGGGAATACTGCATAAGGTGTTGTGTAACCTTTCTATTGGTGGAGAGGTATAGCCTGATGACACTTAGCAACATAGACTAGCACATATGCAAGGGTGAGAAATCTTTCAACAGCTTGTTACATGCACAAAAAACCTTTTGGTAGTGGTAACGAGATGCTAGCTAATTGTTCTGTGGAGAGATGAGTAACAAGCTTTCAAAATTACTTTTGACGATATATTGTAACATATTGTTAAAAATACATATTATATTAATTAGCCTACAATAATTCTGGTCATTCTTAGCCCTTCTCTTTGGAAATATAAGGACCATATTAACAGTGTTCAGGAATTTCTCTGGAGTCCTGTAACATTTTAGATAGTTTCCTTTCTTAATATTTTAGTTTTATCTTCCTCAGCACATCTGTCAGAGAGATTTGCATGTCACTAGCCTTGAGGCGATTCCCACCTAATTTCACGTGAATTATAGCACTGAATGAGGATGTCATCATGCGACAAAAGCCATCCACCAACAGTAGGGCAACACACCTCCATGTGCACTAACTCCCCTCCTATGTATTTGCACTTGTGAATCTTCATTCCTTGATGAGGCAAGTAAGAATATTGTTACGTTTCTGTATGTTCGTTTGTTAATTTTTCTGCGATACAAGTCCTTTCATAAATAAAACTAGTTTATTCTTCCTCAATAAAACTTTGCAATACACTTAATTTCCACAAACGCTATAATTCACAACAATTAACTCACTTTACTACTGCGCTTGACTCAATTGTCCGTCTCTATCTCCACCTGTCAGCAACTATAGTCTGGATCTCTGTATCTGCTATCCTCGGTTCCCACTGACGGTAACTGCTGTCCTTGGTCCCCCACTCTTCTTTGTCTAGCGCACTTATATACGATAATAGCGTCCGCATAGTCTCTTCGAGAATCTTCTAGACACTCATCACGTGCTAACAGCGTCACTTGACTTCCGCTGTTGTAACACAAACACGTGCATAGCACGCACTAGCGTTTCTTGCGAACCTTCTAGATATTCATTACGTGTTACCAACGTCACGTGACTTCTGCTGTCGTAACAATATGTACACTGGAAGTGGGGAGAATATGTGAAGAGGCAAGTATCTAATGGAAATACATTTTCAAGTACGGAAAATGTTAACTTCTGAGACTCACCTCCTCACATAGATTAGCTAGAATCTCACATTGATATAGTGAAGGGACTAGTGTAAAATTTACCTAGATGAACACCCTTCAGAATGGCATCGAAAAGATGCCCATGGGGTGTGACACCCAATAGCAAGGGCTCCAAATGGGCAAGCCTCTGAGAGACCACATCTCGTTTCATTCATGGTATACTCTTTGTCCATATAGGAAAAGGGAATAGGCATAGAAGCCAAATTTGTGTTGTAGTGACAGGTGGAATTAGAACATGACCTTTGGTGAACTTGCATACAAGTTGCCTGACAGCCAATATGTTTAGTGTGGTTGGGACACATAAAGACTGCACTTTGTATGCTCACCTCAACTGTTGGACTCTATGGGACTAACATCAGCTGCAGGAGATGTTAGATGCATCACAATGCTCGCCTCAACTCTACAGTCAGACTTCATAAGACTTTTACCATCTGCACGAGAGGGGCACATTAGCCAGAGAATAAGGGTTGGTATAGTGTGTTGACCTCGACTCAACTGAACGGGTATCAGAATAGATTCTATGTGCACGAGAAGGGCAGTTATTTAGTGTATGCTCACCTCAATTATACTAAACAGACTCAAGCTGCATGAGTGAAGTATTTGATTTATATAAGGAGTTAATCTTACAACACTAATCGTGTCACAACCATCCCACTTCTCACCATATTGGTATCCTTGTTCTAGTTCAAGCTACATGGTGGAATCCTATGTAATGAAAGAGGGGTTCTGAAAAAGAAATAGTACACATTCTTCTCAAAGATGACGGAGTGATTAAGAATGGCAACCCGTGAAAGCCAAAAAACCATCAAGAGATAAAACAGCCAGAAGATATAGAGATTAATGCATGGAGAGCGTTAACACGACCACCTGGAGGAGATTGTCCAAGAGCTGTCAAAGAAATATAAGAAAATGAAAAAGATAATGAATCAAATGCAAAGAAAAGGGAAATAGTCTATAAGAATTTACATCCTGGGGTGAACATGTCAACAGAGAGGTTAATGGACCCACTCTATAAGGGAGGAAGGAAAGAGGTCTATGGAAAAATAAAGGTTCCAGTATACAGGACAGATGAAAATGGAGGCCCTTAAAGGGTGAGATCCATGATAAGTCACATCCAACAGGACACAGGAGTCGAACTGGGCGTGAATGATTGAATTGGCAAGAAATGGAAGGAAAGAAAATAGGAGAGAAGTACAGTGTACCTTCTGAGCAGTTGAAGTCCAAGGGAAAAAGGATCAGCCCAGGGAGAAGAAAATATAAATGCAGTGGAAGATGGTGGGAAAATAATGTGAAGGAAAGACATCAGAGTGATAGTAAACATAGAAGTAGGAGGAAACAAATCAGGAGAGAAAGATAGTACAAATACCAGGAAGACAATGACTTTAATGGGCTTGTAGTACAGCTAAGGTCCAATGACTGTGACAGGTGGTAATGGAATGAATGAAGTAGTACAGCTAAGGTCCAATGACTGTGACAGGTGGTAATGGAATGAATGAAGTAGTACAGCTAAGGCCCAATGACTGTGACAGGTGGTAATGGAATGAATGATGTAGTACAGCTAAGGCCCAATGACTGTGACAATTCCTTCAGGAGAAGCTCATAAGAAGACAAAGTGCTCCAAGAAAGAAAATCTTGGGTCTGTAAGGTCCACTGAAGTTTATACATGAGGGCCCGCCCCAAAAGAATGAGGTGGTCTGGTAAAACCAGTCTCCAAAAGGAAAATAACCTCTCATACAGGGAGAGAACAAGAAGTGTAAAACCTGGTGACCAGGTATGCCGTGGTTCACAGGCAAAGAATGTAGGCTGAATTCAGTTGAGGTGAGAAAATGTCCCAAAGTACCCAACCCCGAGTGGATATGAGAAAGGATTTAAATCCCAGATTAGTCTCTGCCCCTGGGGTTCAACCGAGTAGACACCATAAAATCTGGTTCTAATGAGTAGTGGTTCATTCCTGTTTAAGAAATATCAAATGGGCTTCTGATCTTGATCATCAGAAGCAAAATATACACTTCAGTGTGAGCTGCACATACACCAAAGGGGAAGAAAACAAAAAGGTTAAACACTGTGAAATTAAAACAAGTGTACTGGCAAATTATTTATCTTGGTTAGTCGATGACACACATTTGCAATGCCTACATAAAGGTATGTTTAGCTCTAAAAAATTGTTTCATTCTTTTCTTTGTTCTATCTTAGCAAGCCACTGAGTCATGCATTTTTTTGAATATCCTTTTCCTTCTAAACAAAGGGCTGTTGTTTGATACACCATTTTTGTTTTCATTAAAACTTATTTTATTTTACTTTGGTGATTGCTTCAGCTTGAAAGTTCTATTCTACACTTTGTAATTTCCTTGCCCACACACATTTTTTTACTATCAGAATACATATACACCAATATCATTAATTTACTACAATAAAACATCTAATCTATATAAAGGCCAGTGCATGTCATGTCACGCTTGATTTATCAAAATAGGAGTCATCATAAAAGTTAAAATGCATATATCCAGATAGAATAGTTTGATTACTGTTAGCCCTTTACGATTTTAGTGACGGGGAGCAAAGAGGCCGTGCCATGAAACCTTATAAGTGTAGTAAGTATTGGTACAATAAACCTAGAATGAAGAGGTAGTGTGGGATTACCTAGCCTAGAGCCAAGTGAATAAAATTTATCATGAAAGTAAAAATATTGATTAAATTTTAAACTTAAACCCTTTCTGAATTAAGCTATTTTCTGTTATATCACAGTTTTTAATAAACAAACCTTTTTAATAAATGGAGACTAAATTAAGAAATCAACAAATTTTTCCAGTTTTGTTGTCTACACATTTCATTTTATACTTCCAGTACACAGATTAACAACATTTGGATATACTTTTGTTGCTAAGCAACATGACATAAATGCCATTGTTCAAAGGTAGTGTAACCAAAACGCACTGGCTTTTTTTATATATTAGTAGTTGTTAATCTTACTAATTTATACCATTAATTATTCTCTGAATAGGGCACAAGTTCCTTTCATGAATTATCTTAATTTTGATTAGCTCACAAAGGAATTTACTGATGTTTGACTGCCTTGACCGACCTTTTCTGCCACTTTGTTGGTCAAGTTTGATTTTGTAAAATCTAATTTTTTCAGTTAGCTATGAAACGTGAGGTTAGGGTATATTATGGGGTGAGGGTGGTAGTACTTGCCCCATCATTCTTGATGGACTATATGTTAGTTTCATAACTCTGTTCCTTGTGCTCAAGGTAAAAATTTGCCCAAAAGAAGGTGAACCTACAGTTTTGGAATTTAAGTTCAGCTTCACAAGCACTAAGTTACAAAAGATATTAGCATCTGTTCATTATACCTGCATTTTCAGAGTAATATGATGTTATAGATGCTACTATTCCTTATGGTCTAGTTTTTAAAACTACATCTTCAAGTGATATGGTTTTTATACATGCTGCACAAGAAACCGTTGTTTCTCGTCTAACTTTTCTTTCAATGTCATTTCCCATGTAGAATTTGTTAACAAGCCACAAAGATAGCTGTAACTCCAATAATTTCAAGATAATAGAAAACACAGTAAAATGATATGTAATTTTATTCATTACCTTCTCAAATAAGTAGAATTTTTCTTAATTGGTCCACACAAAATTCAAAGACAATGGTCATAAGTTTATACTCCTTATCTCTCTGTCACATAATCCGAGAACAGTCACTCAGTATCTGCTTGTCACATAGTGTTAATTGTGCAACAAATATCAAATTAGAAATGAACCTAATTAAAAAGGTGTAAGCGATACATTAATGGAGAAAAAAAATATACTGAATTAACATCAGAAAAAAAAATTATCCTGAACAAGAATTTTTTTCAAGACTTGAAAAGTAACTTTAATGACATTTATGATTTGAAATAATGTCACTGAAAAATACTGTCATTTCTTTAACAAACACATATTAATCAATAACAGGATATACAAAAGACTAAAAAAGTGTGTAAAATGTGACAACAAAGACTTTTCTTATAATCTAAATACTTAAAGTTACCTGTTATAGTGTAAAGCATCATTAGCATTTACATGACTGGGATTTTACTGAATGCCAACTACCACCAAACCTGAAATCAAACTAAAATACTCGAAATTATGTATAATATAATTCAAAATAAAAATTTTAATTTTGCTCTTAAAGTCTTAAAATTAGGCAAAAAATACAATTTTTTTTCATATACAAAAAAGAAGAAATGACTATGTTGTTTTTTTTCTATAAAGTGATCAAATCAAATATATGCAAATTGAACTCAGGTTTTTCAATGAATTAATTTATATCCTACATCATATGTTTTTATACTCAAACATTTTACAAGTAAAGGATGAAATATTTAAAATTTCTTTGCACTGAAGTGAATTTTTAATATGTAATTTTATACATTTGATAATTTCTAAATAAAGGTTTTTTAAAGCTATGGTGGACCAATAATACATTAGTTGGTTCACAAGGTCACTTCTGAACACAAGAACATCACAGGCACAATATTTTCAAAGTCTACTAAGAACCATGAAGTTATATTTTTCAGGAACAGGTGGTAACCATAAGATAACATGACTTTAACACTGTACATTTTAGTTTTTTTTCTTTTATTACAGGATTGAAAATTTAGACTATCATCCTATCACCTCATTCCTTTATTTATAGAAGCATAATCTTTAGAAAAATTTACTTAATTCCTTTATAAGATCCTATTCACCAGTCAATATTTACATAAGGCAATATATGTAACAAGTCACTATTATATGACTCTGCTGTAACCACATCTTTCCAATCTCTCCACCTGCTGTTGTGGTCATAATTTCCATTAACACTATTCCACTGTTCTAATAAAAGACGATCTACACACTCTTTCGTTACAGGTTCACTTTCTTTAACACTACAATCATCTTCACTCCATATTATATTATCTGGTTCTAGAACAGGCAATGATGACAAGATATTATGTATTTCCATGTCCACTGGGTCACACATCTGAGTGAAAGGTTTCTGACAAGATACAGGAGATTCCACATCAGACTTAGGGTAAGAAGCACTACTGTTAATTCTTGTTTCTCCTTCCGAATTCATGGATGATTTTAAAAACCTGGCCATGAGTTCTGACTTAGTTTGCCAAGTTTCAGCATCACAGCCAAACAAAGCTTTATCTGGAAAGTTATTGGAATTTCCAAAATCACATGCACTATCACTTACACTTTTACTAATAAGCTTACTGGGCAATGCGACTCCTTTTTTAGCTTGGAATTCCTCCATTAACTGTTGATGAGTTTTGACTTTAGATAACTTAGAACTAGATGATGCTGCAGCAAAAAACTTTTCTTTCAAAATGTCTCTATTTTCTGACTTCTTGCTCTGTTTTCCTTTTTTTATTGGAATTTTTACCAATTCATTATTTACTGTGGGTTTTTCAGGTAGTGAACAAGAACCAGATGTGACCCTGCATGATTTAAAGCTTTCGAAAGGAGACTGTCTACTGTGGGAGAAGGTCCAGGCAGGTTCTGAAGAAGAATCCAGACCATTAGATAAGACAGTTTTATCACTAGAGCAGCTTGCACATTCTGCCAAAATACTTTTTTCTTTATCTATATGAGAATCATCTTTCCTAAATCTTTTGTTTGCAGCATTGGTTTTGGCTACATCTAGATCACAATGAGAAGGACTCACTAGGACACACGGAGAAGTTGCCGGTATACTTGTCAGATATGGACTAAGCAGGCATTTTCCCCCAAATACAGGACTCTGAGGTCTTGGACAAGCTACAGTGACAGAAGATTTGTTTGTTAAACTTGCCCTGCATGATGTTGTATTATGAATAGCTAACAACGCAGGACTAACAGGTTTGAAAACTTGGTTAAATGAAGGTGATATAACACTCCCATTGCGATTAACAGTACTGGGTGACAAGAGCTGACCTCCATTACCATTACTGGAAACACGAGATCGTTTTGATACTGGAGTGTAGTTTGAAAGTGTGTGGGAAGTGTGCTGCCTGATGGACAAGACAGGACTATTGGATCCACTAGAGCAAAGTGGACTATCAGCACACATGTGCTGTAAAGCCGGACTGATCTGTTTAAAGCAAGATGATACCAATGGAAGAGTTGTATACGAGTTAAGTAATGCTGGACTTTTAGGACCTCCACCAGGCCCAGGGCCTGGTATATGTCCAGACCCTGGACCAGGACCCAATGGTTTTCTAATTGGTGGTGTACCCGCTATTCTGTTCTCAACAGATGCCACATTAGCCGACTGATTTAAAAGTTTTAACCAAGACTTAATCAGTGCCTTCGCTCTCCTTGCAAGCTGTTCATTTGAAGTCTTTTTTCGAAGTTCGTTCACATACTTTCCCAGTCTTGTTTGCTAGAATAAATTGAAAATGAAATAAATTAGGAAAGCTTTTTATTTTTGGTATATAGTATTATATATATTGGTTTAATACAACCTCAGCAACTATACATAAAATGAAAATAGAGATGTCGCTAAAAGTAATTATTCACTGTCATTGGTAAAAACATGCAGAGTATAGCTCTGAATACAAAATTAGATACAAATTATTTTGTAGGTAGGAACAAAAGTATTTTTAAACATGATTCCATCTACAAATGAAAAACACAAATTAAACCGTAAAAGTCTTACAATAATACTAAAATTGTTACTCAATCTTAAAAATATACAATAATACTAAAATTGTTACTCAACCTTAAAAATATACAATAATACTAAAATTGTTACTCAACCTTAAGTCTTACAATAATACTAAAATTGTTACTCAATCTTAAAAATCTTACAATAATACTAAAATTGTTACTCAACCTTAAGTCTTACAATAATACTAAAATTGTTACTCAATCTTAAAAATATACAATAATACTAAAATTGTTACTCAATCTTAAGTCTTACAATAATACCAAAATTGTTACTCAACATTGAAGGCTAAGCAACCAGTACTGAGCCATTAATCATTACAAACTCCAAGAAACAAAACAAACATTATTTTTCCTGCCTTTTCAGTTAACTTTTTATGGGACATAAAATTATAAATGTTATAGGGTTATTCAGCAATGAACTTAAAAGCTTGAAATAAGATGAGCAGTTAAAAGCTTTACAGACTTGAAGATATTTTTCCAATAGAGAAAATAGCATATTTCCAAAAAAGATATAGCATCTAATACTAAGCATTATGTCACACATTCAAATGTACAATAAAAATTAAGTGCATACATACGAGATTGCTTTATAGTTTTTTGTTTCAACACAACACATACGTTACTGAAGCACAATCACTGACGTTTATTATACATAAGCTTTAATTTTAATTTACAGAGTACGTTTTGTTACAATGTTTTATTTATAAACATTTGTTCTATTATAAAGAATTATTTTGATCAAAATGAGAGTTACATTTTTTAGGGGATCAAATTTTTTTTTCTCTCCTCACTGAATTCAGAAAAGTGTATGTGTGCTCAAAGGGGGGGGGGGGGTCAAGAAATGGAGCCATAAAGGTTGCAGAAGTTAGATGTGGATGCTAGTTTAACATAATGTCAGATAACTGTTAGTTACTGGTACACAGGTTTTTACAAAAGACATTATCTAAATCATTTTACATGTAATAATTCTCATAAAAGGGGTGTAATTACAGCAAAGCAGTGACCGCTGGAAATCTAAGATCATAATCAAACAACAAAGAAAAAATACAGATTAGTTCATTATTCTACAGGTCACTACTCTGTATCATCTGATTGAAGTTTAAATAGCATTTCAAGAATTAAGCATTATTCATTGTTTCAGTTTTTGTCTCTCCAAACAGAACATGTTTATGAAACAAATGGTGCTTACAATCAATGAATTATATTAAAGATGCAGTGGGCAGTATACTTACTGTATTCTTAGAGTTAGATATAACAAGCTAGTTTTCTCATCATTACATATGCATAACTTAATTAACTGTGGCAGCTTTAAAGGCAGGTGGGGGCAACAGAAATAAATGGTGTTTACAATCAATGAATTATATTAAAGATGCAGTGGGCAGTATACTTACTGTATTCTTAGAGTTAGATATAACAAGCTAGTTTTTTCATCATTACATATGCAC